ACATGCTTGACTGTGGCCTGCTTCACTCGGTCACTGTGACGTAAGCGCGGGCCTGAAGCTTGTTGACGTGCAGAACCTGCTTGACGAGCTGAAGCTCGACGGCTCGATGTTTGCTGCCACAGATCCCTTGTGCTCTCTGTAACAAAGATTTGCTCACGGTAACTAACTGTGAAGGATAATGGCAAAATTCATTGTTTTCTATACACAGTGTGACCTATGCTGTTGTTAGAATTTTGGATGACTAACGCATCTAGGAAAGCTAAGGAATTATTTGCCTCTAATTTACGTGCCGTGCCCAACCCAAATACCATATTAGTGTTATAACATGGGCACAGCATCCAACAGTTCGACGGCCCACAGTACTTTTTAATTGCACTTCTACCAGAACCATTGCCACTAATTAAAATATATATAAAATACACTTTACGACTAATGGTGATGACTTGCAATTTTAGCCCTAAGTAAAGATTAGCTAGGGCTTAAGTTTATTCCTTCCATAATGCTGCTCCTCTGGTTATCACAGAGTTCTATCCGGTAGCAACCATTAAATCTTATATGCTCACTATAATAGTAGCGAGCTTGCTTTAATTGGTATGTGAGACAAGCAATTAATATTAAGTCGCTTTAAGTTAAAACAGGAAATTCCCTAACATTTTAAAGTCTACATTTATACTCGTATTTCTAAAGTCTGCCTGCCCTAGCTCTATTTTAGCTTTCCCTAGCATATTCAGACAAATCATTATTTGTTCCCTGTCCCTTATTTTTGTGTGGAATTTATTAATTATGGCAGCAGCCACAGCAGTCTATCATCAAATGTGTAGAAGCCCTGTTATAGTAATTTTGATGAAATATTTTAAATTCAGTTTTAAAAATGCCATTCACCACCTCTACTACTCATATCGACACATAGTCACGGCTCTGGATTTATTAGCATATCTTGTCATTAACTGAGATTAACCATCTGCTGGAGACATTGCTGCGGTCCTTAGACATCCACATCTATCCTCTATTACAAATCAAAATGCAGATGCGTTGTCACCCGTGAGGACTAAGATCATTTTCTCGTTTCCAGTAAAAAGGGTCTCCGGTTCTCTACACTCACCATACAAAACACAGCAGCATTAAGCTACTATTTCATGCTGGTATTCTGTGAGAGTGTGGTCCTTCCCCGGTCGAGCCGACCCATTCATGCTACAACTATACTTCTAATATAACTGCAGCATTTCTCTACCACGTATAACACACGTACATAGTAATTGTAATCACAAAAGAGACATACTCGCAATGCTGATGGAACATTGAGTCCATTGGAATTGTTACAACGAGGTAAAAAACATTGATTTGGTGTTAGTGGCGCTTTTAAATAATTAGTTAGCAGTACACTGTGTGATGTATGATCTAAGCGTTGTTGTTCTGGGTGCAATACATTACTCACTTCAGATTGCAACGAGGATGGACTAGATGATTCAGATGGATTCCCGTTCTGCAGTTGAATGTGATGCTGTTCTATCAGTTCATTGCCAGCAATTATGATACACACGGCATGACAACGGCAACTGAAATAATGTAAAATACAAAAAATTAAGTCAAAGTGAAAAAAAATAGATTTGTTTATTTTAAACTCAAATATAAATAAAATATTTATCAAGTTAAATGTTACTGCATAAGGATGGACTTAATGTCCTATATTATTTAATAATTAAGACCTGACAGACTACCAGCAGTCCAAAAACAATGAAAAATCAACGGTCTCCTTTCTTGGTAGTTGATAAAAATGGTCAATCTCATAAATAAGCTAGTATGTTTGTCAGATATAGCTTGTGCAGATGTGAAAAAATAAAACAAGTTCTTGAGTCTTGAGCATCACACTTAATAAATTGAAAAATGTTAAACACTTATCTCCAAAATTATATCCAATTGTTGAGAGATCAACAATTGCATTTTCCAACAAAACAAAATAACACGATAACACGCAATTGAATTCTTGTGACAACAATGACGGGGGCCTACCTGTCAGATTCGATGTTGCCACTTAACTGTCATAAAATCTATGAAACGATATCGATTTTTATTCGATTAATAATATCATAAATCTTTGACGCGTTTTAACTTCTGCACGCTTTTTAAAATATAATTTCCTTTATTTATTGAAATTCTATTTCAAACGTATTTTTAAGAACAGTTAACTTGTGCTGTATTGTTTTGTCATGTTTTAGAGAATCCATGGTAAATCAGCTAGAAATTAACTTATTGAATTATCATGACATAATTCCATTTTAAACGTTATGTTAAGAACAGATAAGAATAACAGTTAAATTGTGCAGTAGCGTTTTGTTATACTCTAAAGAATTCTTGGTAAATCAGGTAGTAATTCGCTTGTTTAATTATCATAACTATAAATGTGAAGGTTGTCATCGATTTCAACCGAGCCTATAACAACGGTTGTTTTTGTTTTTAACGGTTGACTACCGCTTTTGATGACTTGAAATGGATAAAAACCCATTTTGTGCAATAAGTTTTTTCTCTTTGGTAATGAATAAAGCACAGAAACCCATATAATGTATAATAGTCCTTTTTTTAGATACAAGTAGCACATTTTAAAGAACCGCAAAAACAACTTTGTTATTAACACAAACACTATGAAAAACAAAATAATTTGTTGCTGGCGATAATGATAGTGATATTTTTGACTCGATTTAAAATATATGCTTGTTACTACAGAACTCTTCATGGGTCTGCGAGTACGGCT